CCCTTCTCTGGACACGCTCGAGTCATTCAACGGCCTTTTTGGAGTGAGGGGCAGTAATGTCTGTATATAGATGTGTACATATATATATATATATATATATACATATACCTACACATCCATATACACACATATTTATACAAACACCTGTATTACTTGCAATGGCCTTGACGGCTGCTTTTAGAAGTAGTACACTTTCAGATATCTGGTTTTATCATGCTTTTGAATATAGAAATATATCTAATGTTGTTATAATCTATTTGAAGGAAATAGTTCCTACAAATTCCTTGAATCCTCTGGACTGCTTTTGTAACTGATATAAGTTATCCGAAACTTTGGGATGCATCTATTTAAGATCTACATCATTTCATGCATGATAGATGTTAACCATTTAATAAAAACCAGACAGAACTCAAATATTGTAATGATGAGCCCCAGCAGTATAAGAATCCATTCAAACTAGCACTAGCCATTACGTTTATCAGTTCGCTCAGTCTGTGTTTCTTCTGCAAGATATAACAGTGTAAACCTGAAGTTCACATTTAACTTTAGCAGAATTTACAGTAATAGAACTATTACAATGATAATCTTATTCTCTGATGTGCAGAAAAATGCACACATTTATAATGACTGATAGTACTTCTAAAAACACATCAAAAGCACAAGTATAAAAATGGGTTTTGAAATTGATTTTTCTTATCTGAGGTTCTGTCACAAAGCCTGTGCTTACTTGGATGACAAGTAATGCTTGATTTAATGTGAGACAAAAAAATTAAGATATGACTTTGCTTTTTCAATGTGTATAAAAAAACCATCAGCATGTTTAATAACTCTATTAAATTATGTTTAACAGCTATATGAGAAAATGACTATGTGAGAAAATGACCAAACTAAATAAACAATTTATTATCAGCCCCCTGAGGAAAGAAAAATTATGGGGTGAGTACGGCTAACCGAACAGGCTCATAACCTGGACACTCCTACAATAATTAATGAGTAGCATCTCATTTAGGTAACTTGTAAACAGAGACCTTATTTTACAGAGTTTTTTAAAGAAGAGGTTAAAAACTTGTTCTGCAAAGAACTGCCACTAAAATCTTGTTTGCTCCAAGCAGAATGTTTCATTTGTGTCTGTAGCAGGCTACTCAATTATAATTGTTTTCTTTCCCTTATGTACTGACAGCCACTAATCGCCTGCATCCAAATATCATGACTGAAGTCTACACTGCCGACACCTCAAATATTTAGCTTTGAAGATTAATGAACATCGGACTATATCCAGCCTTTAGGACAGGGACCAGGCTGAAAGTCAAAGAACTTTAAATTTGATTACACAAAAATTACCCAGCAAATTTATTGATTTGCTTCCAAGGCAAACAACAATCTTTACAAGTACATGTTTAACTTTATACTCCCAAGCAATCAGTCCTAAGCATATATAGACAGCTTCCATTCACAAGTAATAAAAAATACACTGTTGGGTGAAAGAACTGAAAAGAACTGGTACAAGATATTTACATCTAAATGGACGCACACACGAATGTCTGCAAAACTAACTTCTTATAAATTCTCCTATCTTCCTGGCTGCACTGTGAACCAATGAAGTTAATATAGATACGATGATTTAAATCAGATGAAAGTATTGTTTAAATGTTAGGCATCATTCACATACCTACATACAGGTCCCTATACCATATAGGTACACATACATATTCCTATATGTGTATATTAATGCATACATACATGTATATACATGTGTATCTATTTCTGTATATATATATTTCCCATAGGAAGCGGGCATCTGACACATTCAGTTCACAAACAAATTAGATTACAGCTTTATAAATAACTGGGGGGAAAAAAAAAAAAAAGACCATTTAATTTACAAGCTATATTGATCTGTTCTAATATAAAAAATAGCACGTTTAGAATTTTACTTACAATGCCATTAATACTCATACAATTTTATACAATGCCAACTCAACATCTGCTCTTACACTATTTCTATAATCAGAATTTGTGATTTAATTTTTCAACGGCTGAAAATGAAAACTGCATGGAATACATCAGCTGTCTTTCTCTCAGTGGTCCTTCAAAGCAAATCCTATACTCAGGCTCTCAGCTTCTTCATTTTTTTCACCTCTCTCTATAGAAGGAAAATATTTGCAAAAGACAGACCCTACAGATTCAGTCGAGCTTTACCCTGGGCAGTGAAAGTGCACCTTGATTTATCTCTCCTTACCAGTGTTAATAAGAAGAATCTCTTCTGGAATTTTCTAATATTTTACAGCAGGGAAATGAAATTTCCCCTCTGAGCATCTTAAAGTGTATTTCATAACTTTACTTATGTGATTTTGTAATGGGCTTAAAGATATTTAAGTATGCAACAACTTTTGCTTAACACATCATAGAAGTAGGAAATACTGAATTATTTTAGGCAGTGGTTGGATAACAGTAGTGAGTCACACTCTATGAGACTTTGAAGCTACAAATAGATAGGGATGTTTGCTTTCATGCACCTTTTAATAATATTATCTTTTAGTAACTGAAGGACCAAGTGAAAAGGTTGCAAAAAATCCAGCAACTTCAATCATTTTATTCTAGCAAGTATCAGACAGATAGCCTAATTAAGATTTTTCCACTCAAAATGAAAATTACTGGTTGTGTCTGGCTGGGCTTTAAGTAAGTGCTATTTTATCTACTGGGAAACTGGATTTAGCTTAACTTCAATCCCAAGAACAATACTGGAATAGTCAAACATTATTCAAAAACATTTAGAGAAAATATGAAAATATTATAGCCAACACCAATACATCAAGAGCAAATGTCATCAAATCAATCTTCTATTTAAGTTAGTAAATTCTTTCTCGCTGTCATACAACTTTCTTGTAAAGCATTAAGGGAGCATCTCTCACCTAAAACCATAGTTAGATGAGTGCAAACTGCTTAGGAAATCCTAGAGAGACATTGGTTATCAGTAGTTGATTGTCAGTCTGGAAAAAGGTACTTAGTGAGGTTCCACAGGTGCCTGTCCTAGGTCCAGTTTACTACTTAGTATTTTCATTAGGGATCTGAATTACAGGATAGAAAAATGCTTTTTAAATGTTCAAATGATACCAAACTAGCAAGAAGAGAAAGCATGTTGAAGGACAACTTCAGAATTCAAAACAATCTTTACAATTACCTGAAACCACCTACAAAACACAGGATGCTACTCAGGGCAAAAAGAAAGCAACGTATTGCATTTAGGCAGAACTAACTGGTGATCCCAGAATGGGGAACAGACTAACTAGCTAACAATTCAGAAAATAATTTAGTGATTACTGAAGGTCAGGAACTGAATAGGACTATTCAATTTATGCTGAAACAAAGAATGCAGATGTCATACCTGAACGCAAATAAAAACACAGCTTGTAAGAAAAGTAATTCTTTTATTTCATCGATCATTGGTATGAACTCAAATTTTAAAACTGAATGCAGCTCTGGGTGTTGCAGGCAAGAAAGATGTGGCAGCAGTTCAGGGGAAAACAATGTGAATGACCAGCAGTCTAGAAAATATGAGGAAATATTTAAAAAGGTGTGATGTTTCAGCTTTAAGAGAACATGGGGAAAAACAGGATGATAACTTTTCAATTGAAAAAAAAAAAAAGCTTCAGGTTTTATGTCCAGGTTTTTGCTGGGAAATTAGGCCATCTTTCAAAATACACCCATTCTGTCAGACATTTACTGGAATCACACTATTTCCACAAAATATTTTAATTTCCGTGAATCTTCTTTTTTCTGAGAAAAGCCATTCTATTTGAGAAACCAGCCACAAGCTGAGCTCAAAGTTGGAATGGTTTCAACCCACAAAGTCAAGCTTAAAACCAAAAATGTAATGACTATACAAATCACATATATCTGAAGCAATGGTTAGGCATCCAGTGTGCTTTGGAATTGTAACCAGAAGATAGGTTTTATTCAGTTACTTGAGGCTCGCTCATTGCTTGTCATCCCACAACATGAAAGAATTTTATATAAGCATAGGAAAACACCTTTTTTGTATTGAGACTGTTATACACACACAAGCCCCTCTGCCATGAAAGATAATGTATGTTCTTAAATATAGAAACAAGGTTCATCTTGATATAAGAAAGTAATATTTTTTACAGTGAGAGCAATCATTCACTGTAACAATCTCCCCAGGGATGTTGTAGAGTCCCCATCACTGGAGGTTTTCAAGATGCAATTGGACAGGGTGCTAAAACAATCTCATCCAGGCCCCTTTTCCCATGAAAGGTTGGACCATATGATTTTTAAATGTCCCTTCCAGCCTGGGTTGTTCTATGATTCTAGTTACTTCTGTTAATATCTATTCTAATTTCAGAGTCTCAGTTTGAGGATACAGATACATGAATGGAGAAATGGTGCTTGTGATAAGGTATAAATCTGAAGGAAACACCCATGTGGCAGTCACGTACAAAGAGGGTGTCATTTTCAGCCAAGAGAAACAGAAGGTAGTTTTTAAAAAGAACACAAAAGTATAGGTTGTTTTATCCAAGTGTAAATTGGAGGCAGGATTAAACTGAATTACATGTTTATACACAAACTGGATTGATTTAAAAGAGGTACCTACTGATACCATCCTGTTCAAACACCTGGGGCCTGAGGCAGCATTACTAGTCTCTTGCCAAAAACAAGCAAAAAGAAATAAGATCTAACCCAAAGAACCTCTGCCCTAACCAAATACTTTCTTTAAACTTGTGTTTTGGTTTTCATCTGATGGGGTACTTTCAACTCTAGATGGATTGTCAAAGGAAAGAGGTCTGTGCATAATTATAGACCTCTTTGTCTTCTATTTGCCGCTCCAAAAATTAGAATTGCAACAGTTTTAAAACTTGTTTTAAGTTATGGTTGCAAATCAATTTTACATTGAAATACTGTGACCTGCAATGAAACATAAATTGTCAGATTTGACTCTCTCAATGCTGATACAATATAGCTTTATGAACTCAGTGACTTACCTTGTTCCTCACTGATGAGGCCCATATTTGCATGTGCTTGTGCCTCTCTTTTCCCGCCATCAATTTTTATTAGTTGAGCAGTGTTAAAGCATTGCTCATAAAAGTAATTACTTAACCATTTGTCCTCAGGGTCACTGAAACAATAGTAGGCCAAGTAAAGCTGGTTATCGTACACCTCCTCATAGTGCCCTTTAAAAACAAAAATTACAATCAAAATGTTAGATTATCATCAGCTTTCAGAAATCTTACATATTACAGCAATAACCATACAATGAAAACTGAAGAGCTATTTATATTTCTACCACTCAAATACCATCAAGTTCTCCTACATGTCCACTCAAAGAAATATGATAAGGGGAAAATGATAACCTTACCAATTAGGCAGAATTGAATATTTATTTTAGCAAAACCACAATAAATTGCTCTCATTTCTATATTCGAAACCAAAATTCAGTTCAATAAAACATGCAAAACCTGGGTAAGACTTTGGCTAGTCAAAAGAGAGAAGCTAGACTGAGTAAAAAAACCCACACAGTCGGTGCTGGAGAAGCATTTGTCTGAGACACTGAGAACCGAAAAGGCATCAGGCGGTTTCAAAACAGGTCTAAGGTAGCAACTGTGGTGATGGAGGTAGGGAACCAAATAGAACACTCTGCAGACACAATGCATTAATTCATACCGTTTTAAATGTTCAAAGTAATACTAACAAGAAGGCCTTTGAGTTTTCATGTATATTCCCATTTTCAGTACCTTACCACTCTTAGAAATTAAGGACCAATTGAAATTTTACACCTTGCCCTGAAAAAGACAGATCACCAAGGTATTGAAAGCAGATGAGAGTAAAAGTCATGTATCTCCTTTATGATCTGAAGAAAAAAAGACACATTTAGTCCCCACTCTTTATCATCTCAGACACTTAAATGAACACAGACTATCCCTAAAATTTATAAAAGCACTGCAAGTCTCAAATCTAAGTAGTACTACAAAATTATCAACAAATGTATTATTCACAATTTAAAAATCACAAAATGAGATCTTCTGTGGAATTAGAGTTCTTTCAGAAAAGGACCTTTTAAAAACAATCCACAAAAAATCCTTTTTTGATTATTCCAAAACTGTATTAATTTGGAGTAGATATCTAAAATTTATCTGACAATTCTTATCATACTGCTTCTCTCTCTAAGGGGATTTGAAACATATAATCCTTACATGATACTGAAGAATCGATGAGATAATAAAGTATATCATGTTTCACATGCTACATGTTTCACAGCTAAATTAAATGAATTTTCTTTCCAAACTCTGCTCATGGCAGATGTGAATGGGAATAATTAGCTAAAATTCCATTGCAGTTTTTGTGAGCTACTTACTGTGTTTATGGCTGTTAAATGAATGTAAACCAAACAGCGAGTTCTTAAAAGAATTTTCTTGTAGTTGGGTAAAGAAGGAGTTAAGAATCACAAGTGTTGAAGCAGGTGAGAGACTGTTTGGTTAAGCTAGATGTGTTAACAGAACTGTTTTGCTTTCAGGAGATCTGCAATTTGTAAGCTTTGCTCAACAAAGAGAGAAAAGGGAGAAAAGAAGGAAAAAAAATCTCTTACTCCTGGGTATGGAGTACCACACAGAAATCAACTGGGGGAAAAAAACCTGTTTCAATACAGGCAAGGTCTCACTCAAAGTCCAGGTCTTTTCTAAGTGTTTTAAAACTAAGATACCATATCAAAATACTTTGATCAAAAGAAGCAGTTAAATTATTTTCTCTTGTATCTGCAGGAAGAATTGGGCAAAATCCAACTTTCAAAAAAGATTCATTTCTCATCTGTAAGATCTATCATCTGTGTGAGTTACTTGCATTGTTTGACACAAGGAGCAGCAATTACTCAAGAAGTATTCTGAATGCATCACTAAACCATACAAGAGCCTCAGCCTCATCTCCAGCATGTTCTGTCTCAAAATTAAAAATGACAGATTATGTGTGGTCTAATAGGAAGTAAATTTCTCATTGTCTGTTGTCACGACTAAGTTCTTTGACTTCAGAACATCTTGTTAAACCTCTTCAGTGTGTTGCACAACACCAAGAATTTATATTCTGTTTCCTGAAATAACTGTTACCACCTAATCATGTCTGCAGACAAGAGGTTTATCTAGTATTTGTTTCTTCTTCATTTTTATCTATCTTGGCCATTTTGGAGAACATTGGCTGAATTTTCCCTGCTTAAAATTTTCTGAAATCAAGCTGAAGTCTCTTTTCCCCATTCTTGAACACTCTCCGATTTTGTTTTTTGATTTACAAATTCATTCCTCCTCTTTAATGATAAACAATACTTGTTGCTTGTGCTTTATTTATTTATTATTTTGCTTTCCTATTTATTTTCTCAGAGTTTTTCCTCCATGAAGTGGTACCTCATGTTTCTACCTTTTTAATAATTCCCATTAAAACATATAAAATCATGATTTTTGAACCAGTTTGTGTTATATACTAAACTATATATATAGTTTAGTATATAAACTATAGTTTATATAACTATAAACTATACCATTTCTAGTATTTTAAATAACACCCCTTCTAAGAAAGGTTTCACAATTTCTTTAGACTCATCAAAATAGAAATGCCCAAGAAATTACACCTGAGTATCAAAACTTTGATACAAATTATGAGATGATACCAAAATATACCAAAATATTATCTTAAGTTTAGAAATTTGGCTTTGAGAGGAATAATTATCAATGTATAGACTTAATGTATTCCTATCAGAACATTCTTCAAGGCTGTAAGTTTTCATACCTTCTGTTCCTTCTCAAGGCTGAAAAAGTATCTCTTAGGTACCTCTTCAGAATATCTAGGAGCGTACATCATATAAAACTCATTCATATATTAGCAATCAGACTATTTTCACACAATAACTCATAAAATTAGAATTTCTAGTTTTATTTATATATAATAGAAATTCATATTTCTAATTAGAAATTTAAAACATTCATACATTAGAAATTAGACTATTTTGGTACAATAAAGATCTCTGGGAATGATACTGAAATGGAAGTAACAGAACTGATATAGGCTTAATATATTTATCTATCTGTATGTGCATATATATATATATATATATATATATATATATATAAAAGCATATTTATATGTATGTATAGACAAAAAAATCAATAGTTGGGATTCATCCAAACAAACCCAATTAGATACCAATATGGGTTACCAAGGATCCCTTTACACTCAATGAAAAAAACCCCAGATGCTCCTTGGCTGTGATTTATCTCATCCCAACTTAAACATCTATGGCAGCACAAGGGAGCTGGAGTACCTGGAGCATGAAAGATTACCTCAAAAGGCAGAGGTTCACATGATGATTACAAGTACATAAACAAATAACCACGTGAACAGAGAAATATAAAACCTAATTATAACCATTAACATAAAGACAACAATACACATTATATATAGATTGTAGCTAAGTGAAAACGAACTTAGAAGATACCAGAGGATACATACATTTACAATACAACAGTAAGGGGAAAGATAATTGGATTGTGATTGGGGTAGAACACTAGATACAGATTTGTTGATGTTGAAATCTTTGCTACGAAGTATCAAGGCACTAATGCTACATAAAATTAAGCAAATAACTTCAGGTAGTGCCCTACAAATCTCGAGAGATGGAACTGACCTGAGGCAGACTATTGCTACTGCCACAGCTTTGATTGAATGAACTCTAATGTGACCCTCTGATGACTATCCTGCTGGTGAATAACAATGAGAAGTGCACAAAGACAACCGTTTCTCTGTAATTGTCTTGGACAGTGGCTGACCAGATAGGCTGGTCATAAAATAAACCCTAAATGATAGACTTTTAGAAGTTGTATTGTCTTCTGGATCCAAAGTGTGATTTACTAATCAAGAAATGAATCGAGATTATTCTGACAGGGGTAAAACTAGCGTGTCAGACTTAACAGAAGTGAATATTTACCTCCTCAGGAGAAGAAAAATATTAGACTAGGTAAATACTATCTTCCATAAAATCTCCCACGGGCAGTTCATTGTTAAAGCTTTGACTTCTCTAATTTTGTATACAAAGTCCTCTACAACTGATAATAGAATATACATAAGACAAGTAATCTTTATGTATCTGTCGATATAAAAAAACCCCAAAACTTCTTTGCACCACCTATCAGAGAGGGAATGATGGCACTGGAAGGTGATACCGAATGAACAGAAAGAGAAATCTGAATCACATGAGCAACTGTAAAATGGTTCCTGCAAGACAAATTCCTGTTTTTAAGTAAGAAACAATGAAGAAACCACAGAGATAATGTTCAGAGGCTGATCCTGTTAATCTTTCAAAAATTACCTTAATTTCATAAAACATTGGAAGATAAATTCAGCTCTTCCAGAACATTTAAGTCAAAGTATTGTGAGAAAACTGTAAAGATTAAATTCTACCCAAAATGGCAGCTACACAGAACAAACAGAACTTGATGAAGCAGATGGTGAGGCCTGAGCATTTATAGTTTTGGTCTTAACTGAAGAACTGAAGGAGGGTTAAGAACAGATCTTATGGGCAATTATACAACAGAACATCTTTTCAATGCCAAATTACCAAATTGAAGGCAGTAATATTTAATAAAAATTAAGTAAAAAACAAATTAAAAGTCATGGTATGTTGCAGTATTTGGTTTATAGAATTTTTATGTTTTTGTCATAGAATATACATTTCAGAAAATGGACTTTTTTCATTTTGTTTAATATGAACTTTAAAAAATATTTTAGTTTCATTATCCTTTGCAATGGAAAACGACTCTGAAATCAGGTGTCTATGCACAAAAGAAAGTATCCCTATCAAATCTCACCGAGATCTTTTTGTTAAACAGATTTTTTAAAAAAATCCATTGACTTGAGCTTAAACATTAAACCTCATATATTAAACACATATAGTATTTCCCGCTCTGCATCAGGATCTCTTCAGGTGCATCTTAACTGTCAAGTAGGACCTCTCATTATGCTCAAGCTATAGTCCCTCACTGCCCCACTGAACAATATATTTGTTTGTTCCTGTCTCTTCTCATGAACTGGCAAGCAAGGGCACACATGGAACAGAAGATCATTCAAATCCATGGTCTTCATGTTTTTTGTGTTTAGCTAGGAAACTACTAAGTAGTGTAATGCACAGGGATAGTGA